TATATGACCTATGGTCTGTGTGCCCTATTAATCTATAACGTAATGATACCGTCAAATAGAGAACAGTGAATTATCGATCGGACTGATAACGCATAAAACAAGTACGAGCAGTCTAGAGTTTTTTTATAGGTCCTGATTCCTGCCTAGTTCAGCCAGTTAAGTCCAGAACACAAATTTCAACCTCTGCGATATGAATCATTTATTTCAAATATACGGGGTTTTTATACCAACCAGACAGACCACATTGTACCATAAAATGGGAAACAACGTTTGTACAAGAATTAGCCAAATGTGACTGTGAGTGTGGGAGGCAGTAATTAATAGACAGGGTATAATTCAAGAATGGTAAATAGTAGAATAATAGTTCATAAGTCAAAATAAAACTCACAATAAGAGGGACATGAATATGTCTAGTTTAGTTATTTAAAAAATATACGATAAAAATATACGTTTAGTATTGGTCCATAAATGGGTCCCAAAAGTTACCATTCATTATGTTTATCGGGACGTAACACTTCTATTGAAGGTATTCGATGGTAATGCTTTTAATCATCTCTCATTAGAAATTCCCGACCGTAGCTGCTACTTTGACGTAGTGGTCGGGCTTGCTTATCGTGATGACCCAATCGAGCTATATTGGCTGGAACACATGTTCCTGCAGGTTCTACCATGCCAGGCAGGTCGATTGGAGAACGGTAAGACTAAAAGCAGCAACTCAAGGTCTGGGGACGAAGTCGTACTGCTGACTGTAGAGGGGTGTGACAGCAGTAAAGAATTTACCCCGGACAACCAGCATCTGCAGCGATGCTGCCGCCTCACAAGGAAGGAAAGGGTTAGAAATGGTCGACCTTAAAAATGTCACACCTCATCTTACCCCACGGATTTCCGTCTCCGGCGGTAAGGCTTTTTGAAGAACGGAGTCAACACATTAAATACCTTCCACAAAAAGGCCGTGCGCGACCGGCCTCAAGCAGTTGTCCCTTGGGCTCTGCGGTCACGCTCTCAGGTCGTTAAGACCAGCACTAATCCGACGTAACAGTAAGGACTCAGAAAGATAGGGACACTCGTCGTTGCCTCTTCGTCGTCTCTGCCTACTCTCCCACTAACTGCAGCTCAGATAATGTAAAAGATGGGTATTACAGAAAGCTTTCCAACCTCCTCCAAAAAGCTAGTCGCTCTGATGTAGTAATAGTGGCTGGTGACACCTGAGTGGATCATATGTTATCGCGGCTCAAACAACAGATAATGGCGACCGTCTGTTGCAGCTATGCTCAGATAACCGCCTGTTTCTTGCTAACACTAACTTAAAGCATAAGGAGAAACATCTTTTAACATGGCGACCCCCTAATTCGTCTCAACATTGGACCCAACTAGATCACATCGCTACCAGCCACCGATGGAGGGGCTCGATAGAAGACTCTAGTGCGAGCGCGTATTTGTCTACGTCTTGCTGGACGTAGGAAAGATGGTGCAAAGAAACCCCTTAGGGTCCTACTTAATGACAGCCAAGATAAGAGTATATTTGGGGGACAACTAGAAAAACAGTTAGGCAGCCATGTAATTGATGCCCACCTCGAGGCAGCGTGGAATGACATCCGAAAAGCTGTAGAAACAGCAGTGATGTCTGCAAGTACTGTAAACCATAAGGTTAAGGAGAAACACTGAATCTCAGCAGCGTCTACCGCACTGATAGATGCTCGGAAACTCATTCCATCTGGATCTGAATATAACGAAGAGCGGAGTCAGCTTAAGCGCAAGCTGACTAGAAGCCTACGCAATGATCGTGAACAGTGGTGGATAGCGGAAGCAAGGGAGATGAAAAAGGCAGTGGCAATAGGTAACAGCAGACAACTGTTCAGACTTGTTAAGAAAACCGGTATTAGGAACCCAAATGTTAGCGATGGACATATTATTCATTCTCGATCCAGGAGATTGGATCGATGGGCAGAACACTTTAGGGGTCAGTTCAACTGGCCTTCAGCAACACGATCTCCAGTCTACCTGAATAGCAAGTTAATGTTAGTCCTCCGACTGTTTACGAAGTTGAAAAAGCTATAGGAAATCTGAAGCGTGGGAGAGCAGCAGGCCCTGATAGGTTTACCCCTGAGATTTTTAAGGATGGTGGTCCAGCATTAGCAGCGAGCTTGACTGAGATCTTAGTTAGAATCTGGAAACTGGACGTAATCCCATCTGACTGGTCTCAATCACTGATTGTACCAGTCTATAAAAAAGACAAAAGTCCTCTTGTGACAATCACAGAGGAATTAGTTTGACTAATATAGTGTCTAAAATATTAGCTTCAATAATTATTCGACGCCTAACTAAAGCTCGTAAAGAACAGACTAGAGAAAATCAGGCGGGTTTTCGACCTGGACGTGGTTGTATAGACCAGATATTCACACTATGTTAGGTCCCAGAACATAGACACACATTCAGACGCCCCACAATTGTGGTATTTCTCCACCTTAGGGCGGCATTTGGCTCTGTTGATCGTGAGGTTCTATGGCAGTGTTTGTCACTGAAAGGAGTACCAAAGAAGTACATTAACCTTATAAAGGCTCTCTCCTTGAACACAACTGGTCGAGTGAGAGCTTGTGGCGAACTGTCATCAGAATTGATTACCTCAAGTGGTGTTCGTCAGGGCTGTCCACTCTCTCCATTCTTGTTTAACTTTTTCGTTGACGTGCTTTTAGAGATAACACTTTCCACATCTGACTTCCGAGGGGTTGAACTTCTACCGGGAAATTCACTTTTTGACCCAGAGTATGCCGATGACATAGTTCTATTTGGTGAAGACGCTGACAAAATACAGAGTTTGCTGATCACTCTAAGCATCCATTCTTTGTGTTCTCCCAAATTCTAATCTGAATTCTTCATGTCCTTTATTTTCTTTCCAAATCTATTCCGCTGGATTATACTTCTTGAATAACATCATTAAACCCTAATGTTCCCTATCACTACTTATAATTTCACTACCTCTACCACTAAGGGATTTGAATCGATAACTGAATCTCTGTGCTAATGTGGTATGGCAACTCGAACTGATGTACGTACGTACGAATGTTCCACGTTGTTACTGACTCACTGACTGACATTAGGAATTAATCTAGTTTTTTATATGAATAGTCTTATTCTGTTAAAAAGAAAATCTGTTGGACATAGTTGAAGAAGTTTTCACATCCAGTAACCTTAGTTGTTTGATCTTGCGTTAAGAGAGAGAGAATAATGTAAAAACTTCTTAACTAAACATTACATAATTAATGTAAATGTTATACATTATTTGACCCATGAAGAGATAATATTCTCAGGTCGAAAGTTTAAAGTCAACATGATCTATACAGTGACATATTACATCAATTGATCATGAATATTGTTCAGTCTTCAATGTTGACTAAAATCTTTTGATTATATTTAATTATAACATAGACAGATATTTACTATGAAACACTTCATCCCATTGACTACACTGAAGAGAATAACTGACAGGATTTGATCAACACTAAACAGTAAAAAGAAATGTGACATTTATTATTTTTCAGTGATGGATTGACAGTGATTAATTACTGAATTATTAATCTTCTGATGACTTCTAAGAATGTGAAACTAAACGATAATGATCTTCAACTTTTGAGAAATTCTAGTTTCATTCAGACTATCCATACGATTCGATAATAAGTACTGACCAATGTAAAATCTAAATCTAGGGTTCATTACAATTTGATCCCAACTGTTTAATGACAAATATACATATATAGAGTATTAACAAAACAGAAAAAAAAAGTGTCATCTATAGGTTTTGTCGTGAGTACTGGGTAATTTCAAAGACTAACATAAATTCAAAGTATATACTTTAATGTTAACATTGAAAATGTTATATTTATGAGAAGCTTCAATCACAAAATGCTTCATTTAAAAGCCAAAATAGGTTTAACCGTCTAACATGTTTGTATCAATCTGTAATATTTACTAGCCTATTGAAATCTAACACTGATTGGTTGATGATTTTAATGAAGATTATCCAAACGATGAAATAAAGAGATGATAGAAAGGTTGGTAAGCGGTTACGTTTAAAAAGTGGTCTGTTTTTAGATTTCCATTTTCTTACAATAGTATATAGAGAAAGGTATCTTTTGAGATAAAATCAATAGTTCATTTTTGTATTGTTTGTTTGAATATTCCTATTGACGTTTAGGGTTGTAAATGATCAGTCTCTTATTGGTATTTATGCATCCTCTGCGGATTGCCTTGATATTGCCTTAAGTCAGAAGTACTGTTAGTCATCATCCAACTGTGCTTATAAAATCAATAGTTGTTTTAGAATTCATAAGACAAGGAAAAAAGAAAATAAGCTAAAGGGAGGAGAAGACAGGGTGATCATAATATTGAACGGTTGTGTTTTTAAACTAAAGTGACTGTGAGGAGCTTTTAAGCTTCTTGTAGTAATATGCCCATATTAACAAAGTGTATCTGCTAGCTTAAAAAAATCATTGATCACTGTGGGATTTAAACCCAGATCATTATCAAAGTTAGATGTGTTTCTATTTATCTGTTGAGTAGTACTTGCATGAATTAGTTACAAAGCTGTATGAAATATTATATTGTTTAGTCCTCAGCATTGACCGAATTTAACCCACAAAGATTGTGGATAATTATGTTAATGTATACTTATCTAAATACTGTAAATGAATGGTATTAAAATGTACATTTATGCTACTTTATTAGATTGGAACGAACTAGATTTGATTAAAGTAATCATAAATAAATATACGAGATGGCTAATATCGTCAAATGAATATGATAAGTGAAAAACACATACTGTTTCACTAAACACTTACATTACCTATTCCCATTTTCATGTATTGAGGAGTATATTCTGATGCAACGGTATATTTTCAACACCTATATTACTTATAATGAATGAAATCGATTCAGTAATCCATAAAGTTACTTAACGGTTAATAATAATAATAATAATCAAACTAATTTATCAAGTATAAGTCTGTTTATTAGCCTCTGAACCTTACAGTTTGTCTAAGGATTAGCCTTTCTAACTAGTAGTCTATACCAAAATAGGAATGAAATCTAAGAATTCAAGTGTAAATTATTTATATGAAGCATAGGATATAATTATATAATAAACTATAAATTACAAATATTCGCTTATGATTAATGTAAACAAATTAGGAGATATAGACTAATAAGTTACATTACATTTATTAAGGTCTATACAAACAATAGTTTAACCTATTCAAGTGTTAAATTATAAGATTTTAGATCATAATAAGCTTGTTGTAAACAAATAATAACAGCTTAATTAGAAAGGATAATCAAAGTAGAAAATTCTATTGTAAGTAAACATATGAAACTTTATTTATCCTTTGGTATATTATTATTTTCAAGATTATTTAACAAACTATTATGAAATACAAGAAATTTATTCTTTAATCTATCTTCAATTGATTCACGATGTTTATTTACTAAATATCCAGCATATTGAAGACTTTGTTCATGCCATATATCCAAAGTAGTATGAGGTGTAGTATGTTTAGCATTTATAATTGGAGTAATTTCATCTTTATCCTCTGTACGTAATAAACCATCCCAATGTTTATGTTCAGGTGGATAAATATTACACCATTCACCAGAATATCCAGGCCAACATTGACATTCAATAATAATATCTACATGTTTATTTTTTCTAAGCCAAATTTTTGTACAATCACCAAACATACAATATGCTGTACCTGATCGACATGGTTTAATTATAGTTTCATCTGGTTTATATGATAGATGGTATGGTCTAAAATGTAAAATATAATGAAGGATAAATAATGGGATTCTATAAGTATATCAATAATACCATAATGGATGGAAGAAAATCGATCGATAGTACATTTCACTGATTAAAAAGTATGATTTAAGTTACTCGTTTAACTTTGGAAGGCTTTACATTTTATTAGAGTTCATATTGATCAAGAGTATGATAGTCAGGATTTTCCATGAGTAACATGAAGAAGTCACAGATGTATATTATTTTTTTAATCACAGCCAATCTTATGTGTGAAGCTATTGGAGAAGTGAATAATTGCCTGAGTCAATTTCGACGATTAAAATAATGGTATTTTTAAAAAATTATTACTCACCATTTATCCGACATTTTACTGTATGTTAAATGGTTTTATCATGAGATGTTTAGTCGTTTAAACAAATACATATGATTTCAATAGTTGAGATCATAAGTCAATTTAAGCTAAAACACCATGGAATACCTGGAAGCATTGGACGGCCGTTTCGTTCGAATCTCATGAGGCGGGTTCGTAAATGCGCATCATTGAGGAGTCCCATATTAGAACGAAACGGTCGTCCAGTGTTTCCAGGTTTTCTATGTTTGTTTAGCTTTAATTGACTCGTGATCTCAACTATTAAAATTACTATAATATCCACAAAGCCCCTTCTGATATATATATATATATATATATATATATATATATATATATATATATATATATATTCATCATCTTTAGAAAGGCTGTTTCCACCCCTTTTATAACAAGCGGAACATTTCAAACATCCTTTATCTATCTGATACGAGAAGGAATATGTCATGAACTGTAAAGTAGAGAAAAGAAGTCGATAAATTTTCTAGTATATTGTATAGTTTAAATACATTTAGTCTATGTAGGTTACTACAAGAAAAGATTAAGTTAGTCACTTAATGAGTAAATCTCATTGCATTCTGTTATTAGAAAAATTATATGTTACCTATGAACTCTCAGAGTTAGTCACATTGATGTAAATACATTCACTCATTAACTTATCCTAGATCTTAAGTTCCATTATACCTTCATATGTACGTTTTCATTCTGTCTTGTATTATCTTTTCAATATTTAGTCTCTCTCATTATCATTGTAATGACATAATTTTGATTCTTTTACAATTTATCTCTTTACTTTCATCTCATCGAATCAATGTGGTGTGGAAACTTAATCTGTTGCACATTTACATCATACTTTAAGTTGATAATGACTGACTTTTAATATTTGTACAAAAAACTAAAAATTCATTAACTTTGTTTTGTTCAACACTAGAATGCTTATAATGTATATGACATGACATTGAGAATAACTAATACGACTAACATCTTTATACGTAATATAACTTTTAATCTTCTATATATTGAATTAACGATACAATTTCTAATACATGATTACGAATAACTACAAAAGACGATATGTTGATACTGATCGTAAATGGAGTGTTATAGAATAAAATGACAACCGAGTTTTCATATAAGATTAATAGAAGTAGGCCGATTATATATGTAATGTAATGTATTTATAAGAAAATGCGATAGTTATACTTTCAAATGATTAAGTTTTATAGCAAATCAAAGTTCATTATATTTCAGTGGTTGAAATCATGAGTCAATTGAAGCTAGATCACCATGGAAAACCTGGAAGAACTGGACGGCTGTTTCGTCCTGGTATGGGACTCCTCAGCAGTGCGCATCCACGATCCCGCCCCCCCCACGAGACTCAAACCCAGGACCTATCAGTCTCGCTCGCGAGCGCTTAACTATTAGACCAGTGAGACGACCGGCATCCAACGGTGTTAATGTCAAAATTTAACCAATCCACGAATTTATTATACTGTTAAGCTTTGAACCAAATTAAATTGACAATTGTCACTTATAGATTTGATCAATTTATTGGAGTTAAAGTACACGTTAATAATCATTGAGTTTGATTCTATACAGATAATTAACCATGATTTATTTTATCATCATGGCTCTACACTAATGTATATATATATATATATATATATATATAATGATGAAATTATACTCATCGAGTAGATACGTTATATAATAATTATATAGTGACATATCGATTATAAATTAACAGGAGGATAGGCCGCCCATCAGCATTCTCCATCCAACACTGTCCCAAACAATCCTTCCTAGTTCTTTCCAGTTAATATTCATCCTATTCGTGTCTGCTTCCGATTTTCGACACAATGTGTTCTTTTGTCTTCCACTTTTCTGTTTCCACTCAGGATTCCAAGTTGGTGCTTGCTTTGTGATACAGTTTGATGATTTTAGAAATGTATGTCCTATCCACTTCCAACATCTTTTCCTGATTTCCCCCTCAACTGGAAGTTGATCTATTCTCTTCCTTAGTAGATTGTTGATGATGATATTCGACCAACGAACATTGAGCATCTTATGTAGACGATTGTTTATAAATACTTGTACCTTCTTGATGATGGTTGTAGTTGTTCTCCACTTTTCAGCTTCGTACAGTAGAACCCACTGTCTTGACGTTCGTACTGAAGACAGTGACTTTGATATTGGGTTGCAGACAGTTGTTTTGAGTTCCATATATTCTTCAAGTGTAGAAATGCGGCCCTTGTTTTGCCAATCCTCGTCTTTACGTCTGCATCCGATTCTTCCTGTTCATCGATAATGCTTAGACTAATTCCAGACAAGCATTAAAAACACAGAAGAACTGGATATCTGTTTCTGCCTAACATGAGACTGCTCATAAGTGTAAATTCACAACTTCACTAGATATCAAACCCAAAATCTCCAGGATCAAGGCAACCATTTGGCCAGTGAATATAAGCTGTGCTCACAAGTAAAACAAATCACAGCAATAATTATAGGTTATGGTTTCAGTCCTCTCTGAGGTTGTAAATGTCCACTGTTGAAGGTTTTCGCACTAGAAAGAAACAGATCTCTAGTGTTTCTTATTTTTCAAACCTTATTTACTTAAGACTAATCTGTGATGTAAACTATATAATCTTAATAGTATTCTCTCATAAGCTAAGTCTATACAACAAATGAATTGTACAGTTAGAGTAGTAGCAGTATGCTAAACTTTTTTGGTTAAGTAATAATTTATTTTATTTTGTCATTAAGGGCTAATATAAATTGAATAGCATATAGTAGGTGGTAAGTCTAAGTGTAATACAAAAAATACTTAGCACCCTTAAAGTCCGGCTAAATACTTGAAATTCAATCTAGTTTCAATGGAAAGTGAATGTATCTGAATATTACGTATGAAACATGTTCATTAGTCGAGTGTAATAAATGACTGCAATATACCAGTTTAAAATTCATTGGTTTGAATAGTAAGTATGGTTATGACATTTTAACTGGTTTGATAAAATAATGATATTACGGTAATGACAACTGCCTAAAAACTGATACATACATCTTGATCGGATAACATTTAAAAAGCAATAAAACCGCTAGCAATCTGAACAAATATATCGTTTAATCATCAACCATTCAATCAAGATAGTGAAACCTAGTTTCTATTCAGACAATTGATAATAATCACACTACTATCCAATGTCATAAAATTTCTATTGAAGAACTAGAAACTGATGAAGAATTTTAGTCATGTAGTTTATCATAATCTTCCTCAGGACTGAAAGTACTAGAATAGAGTTATTATTAGATCATTGAACTCTCTTATTATAATAAAATAGCTGTCTAGTCCTTTCTGGTTTTAATTGATTTATAAACGATGAAATTTCTATTTACAATAAATCTGAAATTATCCAGTCAATCAATGAAATCTATTGATTTAAACGATCTCAAAACTTTCGTTTCCCGTAAAACTGAACTGATCTAATTTCAATCACCTTTGAAAGCTTGAAGGCACTGGATAACCTTTTCACCCTATAGAATTCCAAAGTAGTACTTTAGGATTTTCAATAATGGTTTAATTTACATCAGTCCAGCTGATGAGGAAATTAAAAAAAGACATTGAAAGTGAATAGAACATACATTTCGGAAATCACTAAACTGCATCACCAGGCAAGCTCTAACTTGGAATCCGTGAAGAGAAGCAGAAAAGAGGTGGTCTAAAGAACACATTACGTTGGGAAATAGAAGTAGATATGAAAAAAGATGAATAATAGCTGGAAAGAACTAGAAAAGATTGTTTAGGATAGGGAGGCCTATGCTCCTCGACGAGGAGTAACAGGTGTAGGTAGTTAAGTAAGTTATATCAGTTCATGACTTCAGTCAAATTTAACAACTTTTACAACACCATCCTGTTATTTGAAATCTACCAATCATAATTTTGGGACCTATATAAAGTAGAATAATTTTCTTCAATGTACTCTTATCAAATTGAGCCATTTTTGTGCTTAGGTTATTTTAATATTACTTAAACTTTTGAATAAAATCTTAACATGCTTTCATTCATATTAAAAGGAATGAATTACGTGAATTCATGTAATAAAAATGAGATTACAATAAATGACTAAAGAAAACGTTTCATTGTTAGCACACGTAAAATAGATATCAGAGTAGGATAACTAGACATTAGAACTATATGTCCTTGAATTTCGAATAGATTGATAAAATACAAAGTTTTTCAATCGTACTTAGATGGAACAGTTTTGTCACTTTGAATACATAAAGATTATTGAATGTTGTGTATATTAATGGGGAATGTAATTATCTAGTCTATTGACTAGGTTTTCCATGGTGGTCTAGCTTCAACTGACTAATGATCTCAAACATTGAAATTACTATGATATCCACAAAAACCTTTCTCTGATTAGAATCATATATTCTGAAATTATTATTATTCCCAGCGGTTTGGTGACTGATATCTATGTACAAATATGAAAAACATATTTATTGGTTGATGATTTATATCCGTCTATTTATCAAATGGTGAGTATAATATAGCAATTTAGCATGTACTAACTAACTTTTCAAGGTAAAAGACATGGATAAACCAAAGATCTTCATAATTGATTGATCACTGGGTGGTGATCAATATTATGTGTGTCAGTCCCTTCTTAGTACAGATGGAATGCTATCGACCAAGTTGCAATGTGGGCGCTCGTCTAGGTGACTCGAGCATTTGTCTCTAACTAACTACAAGTGATGTTAGTAGAACTTTAGAGAACTAACAAGTTCAAAACCAAAGGAGTCAAAATGATGATAGTATCAGTGATACTCAAAAATTGGACATAACGAATTTTGTTAAAAAGCAATTAGTGAAATGAATAATTTTATGGTACGGAATCACAATCAAATTTGACTATTTAAAGGTAGAGAAAGAATGTATTTATCTGTATCAACGGGGCTACTTTGAATACATGTCACCTCATGTACTTTAACTATGGTGTGCAACGATCAATACAACTACTAAATTAAGTTATTACCCTTATAAGTTCAAGTGATGTTTTAATTAAGCCTCCCTAAGCATTACAAACAAAGATGGATAACGGATGCGAGTTTCATCCCATTTAGGACACGTCAGCTGGATGTACTCGCATCTCAGATTTGATGTTCACTCTGGGACTCAAACCCAGTACCGTTCACTCCAGATGCCATCATGTTATCCACTTATCTACTGAGTCTTGACAGCAATTTGCTTGTACAATGGGGTGAAGTTTAAATTCACTTCGTATTGTTTACTTGAATCTTCCCATTGATGTTTAGGACTGTCACTGATCAGCATGCACACATGCCAATAAGAGACTGATCAATGGCATTCCTAAATATCAATGGGACCATTCATGTGAAAAATACGGAGTGAATCTCTCTAAGCCTTGTTTCAGACTACTCTACTGCTGGTTGCTATTACAAACGGCTAAATTATCGGCTGAGTCTTAGCAACTATAGTTAGTTACTTTTCACAACCTCATCAATAAATTTATCATTTTTACTTATTACTCTATTAATATCCAATTTTTTAAAACGGTGTTGTATTGTTTACTGAAGTATATTGTATAGAGTGACTAGCAAACGTAGGCAGATGGTCATTAGCGCTCTGAATAGTTCATTAGTAGCATCCTGGTCTATGAAGCTGGATGACATAGGTTCATATCCCATACGGAGAATCGGTTCCCTCAAAACTGGAGATAATTCCTTATGATGATTGTCAACTAGTATGAAACCAAGCTCCAAGATATCCTGCCAAATACCTCTAACCACCCAAACTTGCAACAATTACTTAGTAGGTAGAGAAACAATTTGTTCTTATCTAGCATTTCTTTATCTTTCTCCAAATAAATTATTTTACGGTCAGAATTATTACTGTATCCTCAGATGATTAAGGCATTACACATTTTATCGACTGATAAAATATTAATACAGGGAGATAACGAAAACTTCAGAGAACCCAGTGCCATGAAATATTACCATATATTGCCATTGATTTGTAATTGTCTTACATTCAGTATGATTAAAAACAACTAATTGGCAAACATTTATAAGTAATCTGATAAAACGTATAAGAAACTATCCAATTTGCCCTATTTTCTAGTTGAATATTTAGCTATTATCAGGTCGTGAAGTAAATTATCTTTAAATTGTACAAGCATTATATGAAGTGAGCAATAACAAATACAGTCTACTAAGATATTTCTTTACTTATCATACTATTTTAAAGGAGGTTTAACGACCTTAATTGGAAAGAGTTCAAAACTCCTTTATGTTATCTACTTTCCAAAATATATCTATTTATGTTCATTTAACTTATTCTGAGAATTCTGTGAAAGTACAGAATTGTGATTAATATATAAAGCGATGTCTAAGAACAACATATGTTTAATGAAAGTTAATACATTATTTTTTGGGATCTTTCCAGTTGACGGTAGTTATATTGTAATCTTAGTTAAAGATATTTAATTCTTAAACATGATCAAATTTTACAAATCACTCTTAGAATATAGCTAATAGATTTAAAAATGTCTAAGGTGCTGTCATTTTATTTCCAATGAGAATAGATATGATCTATGAAGTTTGTTGGTACTTGTCAACCGTACCCATCTAAAATGTTAAGAAAAATAACGTTTAAAAACTTAGCTTATATTTCACATTATTTGAAATTACAACTATATTTATTCCGATAATGACAAAGAATAATGATCTAGATCTCTCTCTCTCTCTGTGTGTGTAAGATATAGATGTGAAGACTTTAGATTCGTTTTGTTGAGAACTCATAACACTCTTTCACTGGTTAACAATGTCTAAAGTGTAAAATATCCTCGTACACATGGACATCCACTGAATTGATTGCCCTATGACTCGTTCATGTTATTTAAACAAATTTCCATTTGAAAAATGAGAAACCTAATTTTGTAACAAACTGTAATTTATCAAGTTCAAAAGAACAGTAATTGTGATACCATTATTTTACGCCATCTCGTATTACTGTTAAATTTAGCCATTAAAATAGGTGGTTACAGTATACCTCGATCGACTGAATTCTACCAGTAATATAAACTAGACAATATAACATGAGTTATTATTCGATTTTTAATCATAGTGGTCAACAAAATGCAGTTAAAACAATTCGATGGTTGGGGATAATTTTTAGCGAACCTGAATCTCAATTTCATTCTAATTGACACAGGTCAGCCAGGTGTACTTTCAATATAGAGAGATATAATATTCCTTGTGTAATTCTGAACTCATATCACTCAGGTTCACAGTTTGATATGTGACAACTGAGATAATAAAATCTCAAATGATATCTTGTCAAATAAGATATTTCGATTGATTCGTTGTTGTTTTATTTGTACCATTAGGCATAGTACAACCTAATTGATACAAGTTTTTCAACACTAAGATTCATGACAGTAGATACTGTTCAATGATCACTTAGCTCTGATTATTTGATTAATAAACCATAGATTTAAACTCAATCCTAGAATAAGTTTTATCCAACCTCAATGAATATACTCAAAACTGTTATGTTCACGAAAAAAAAAAAGTTAAGTAGATTATAAAGAAGAATTTACTTATCATTCTATAAAAAAAAATAAAGGGAAATATATTCAGTCATTTTATTAAACTAACTTGGCATTTATTAATAATCCAGTTTCAACAATATACAATAATAAATTATACCAATGTAATTTATAATTAAGTAACATATTTCACAACTATTGTAAAGGTAGTATGATTATTGAAATGGATATCAGATAAGTGAATTATACATTTATATACATTTTCGATTATATATATGGATAGACAGATAAATAGGTAGATAGATAGGTAGGTAGATAGATAGGTAGGTAGATAGATAGGTAGATAGGTAGATAGATAGATATATGTACTGGATTTCGTCATATTGTTTTGTATATTACATTCTATAACATGTAAATACAATTAAAAAAAATGTGTAAATATTTTCAAGTTATACGGCTACATGAATTTGATTCTATTAACCTACTACTGACTTAAGTAGTAATTTTTTTGCATAACAGTTCAATGTAATCGATCATTTGAATATATATAATCTTAATTTTGACAATAATCTGGTCAACTGAATAGAATTGATAAACATGTTTATACTATTCAGAGTGTAGTTTGAAGATGACTTGTAATTTTGTAAATTAATGGTGTGGTACATTTGAACTTTACGTTACAGAAATACGGTTTTCTAATACAAAGTATTTAGATATTATTGAATGCTAGTATATAAAGTATATATAGCATTAGAATTAAAGTGGGTCGACTATCAAAAAATAAGTCCGGAAAAGCCCTAAACCTTCGAATAATAAAAAAAAATCTGTTAGTTTGATTGAAATCATGATCTAATTGATGTTAGATCAACATTGAAAATCTGGAAGCAATGAAGGACCGTTTCGTTCTATTGTTGAACTCTTCAGCAGTGCACATCCACGATCCCGCTCGCGAGATTCGATGATGGTCTAATATCCGTCAGTTCATGATCTCAATCAAAAACTTAATAGTCTCCGCAATCCTATTACTTTTACCCCATGTTTAATAACTTCACCACGCATCATTTCGTTTGGCTCTCTTCTTTTCGTTTTGTTTCTTCGATCGTTTGTCATGAAATTTACGTATTCGAAACTCATTCTCATATTTGACTTATTCCGTTATTCACTAACGCGGATTAAGTCGATAATTATATACGAGGATAGTCGACATGGATATTTCAATGACAATCAATCATACGATATTACTGGAGTTAGATCTAGGATCATTTAAGAGGTGAGGCCGTCGATAACATTGTGTGAAATAATTGACGACAAAATGAAGGGCCCCACTAAACCATGCATCCTGCATGATGGAGCTTTTATGAACTACATTGCAGATCTTTTCAGTGGTATTTTTGCAAACGATAAAGAATTCCTGAATGGAACTTTTTTAAAAGTCATGTATGTGATTAACTCAATGAAATCTATTTCCTTCAAATGCCTAAAAATTAGTAACCCAATAAACTCCCTTAAGGTTTCGAGCGATCATGGAGTAGACGGGATTTCATCATTTCTCTACAAATATGGTTGTCAAGATATTCCACTTTTTCATCTAAAGCAGTTTAATCTCTCTCTCTCTCTGGAACCAGGTCCTTACCCTTACTGTTGGAAAATCGCGCATGTCATACCACGTTACAAATCTGCAGATAAGACTGACATGAACAATTATCGGCCCATAAATATTACTCCAGTTATCTATAGGATCATTGAAAAAATTGTTGGTGACGAACTCTCAAACTATTTATTAGCTAAAACATATATTATTGATTCTCAACATAGATTTCCTAAAAAATCGATCTAATATGACCTACCACTTTGACTTCTTTAATTTAGTTTTTTCCCAACGGTTCTACATTTTTAAAGCTTTCGACATGGTCAATTACTATCTTCTTATAGACAAACTCACATCATACCGGATCGAAAACCCTCTGCTTGCTTGATTTAATTCCTTCTTAAGCCACCAACACCAAATAATCAACATTGAATATTCCTTGTCTTACGCTATCCCTGTCAGAAGTGGCATAATACTGAGTATTATCTTAGTCTCTTTTCTCGTTTTAGTTTTTATCAACAACATTTGCGATTGCGTTTGTATGGGTAAGCCTCTTCTGTATGCAGATAATATTAAAGTAGTGTATTCATTTTTCTGTCATGAGTTGAACAATATTCAAAGTTGCATAGGTATGTAGCACATTAGTACTCAAAATAATATTTGGAGCTTAATGTGGCTAATTTTGGATAACTCCGCCTGGAGTCCCTTTCCGGGGGCTACTGCCGGTCCCAAACCCGGATAAAGGAGGAGGGTTGGGCATGGGGTTAGCGACCCCATCCCGTAGAAAACTAACTCGCTAAAAAAACGCTAACCAGAAAAAATTATTCAAACCATTTAAACTCTGCCCTGGGAGTCAGGAGGTCTTCGTTTAGAAGAATTATGACGCCTCATGATGAAAGCCGAGTTTCTTCGGAAGTCACGAGGCCGATGCCCCTTCTGACAACCAGAGCAACCATTTATTTAGGTACATGGAATGCTCGCACAATGTGGGAGACTGGGAGAGTTTTCCAAATTGCTGCAGAAATGAGGAGATACAATTTAGAGGTGCTTGGGATCAGTGAAACACATTGGACGCAAGTTGGACAACAACGACTAGCTTCAGGGGAGCTGCTGTTATACTCCGGACATGAAGAAGAAAATGCCCCACATACACAAGGAGTTGCATTGATGCTGTCCAAACAAGCACAAAATGCACTTATAGGATGGGAATCTCATGGACCAAGGATCATCAAAGCCTCCTTCAAAACAAAGAAAACGGGGATTACGATGAACGTCATCCAATGCTACGCGCCTACCAATGACTACAATGAAGACGCTAAAGATCAATTCTACGATAGGCTGCAGTCAATCGTCGAGAAGTGCCCAACAAAAGACCTGACTATTCTGATGGGAGACCTAAATGCCAAGGTTGGAATTGACAACACCGGATATGAAGAGATCATGGGACGACACGGACTGGGAGAAAGGAACGAAAATGGTGAGAGATTTGCAAATCTATGTGCCTTCAATAAACTGGTCATAGGCGGGACTATATTCCCACATAAACGCATACACAAAACCACATGGACTTCACCGGATCACAGCACACAGAACCAAATCGACCATATCTGCATCAACAAAAAGTTCAGGAGGACGATAGAGGACGTGAGAACAAAGAGAGGAGCTGATATAGCATCAGATCATCACTTGCTGGTCGCCAAGATGAAATTGAAACTCAAGAGGCACTGGACGACGGGGAGGACAATATCACAAAAATTTAATACGGCTCTTCTTCGGGATACTGACAAACTCAATAAATTCAAGATAACCCTCAGCAATAAGTTCCAAGCCTTTCATGATCTACTCAATGGAGAAGGAACTACTATGGACAGCAACTGGAAAGAGATAAAAGAGGCAATCACTTCAACATGTCATGAGGTTCTGGGCCAAAAGAAGCACCATCACAAGGATTGGATCACGGTCGATACACTGGATAAGATTCAAGAAAGGAGGAACAAGAAAGCAGCAATCAATACCAGTCGAACAAGAGCAGAAAAAGTCAAGGCACAGGCTGAATACACAGAAGTAAACAAGCAAGTGAAAAGGAGCATCAGAACTGACAAACGTAAATATGTGGAAGATTTGGCATTGACGGCGGAAAAGGCTGCGAGAGAAGGAAACATGAGACAACTGTATGACACAACAAAGAAACTCTCCGGAAATCACCGTAAACCAGAACGACCAATGAAAAGCAAGGAAGGCAAGATAATCACCAACATTGAAGAACAACGAAACAGGTGGGTAGAACACTTCAAAGAACTCTTGAATCGACCAGCCCCACTGAACCCACCCAACATCGAAGCAGCACTCACGGACCTCCCAATTGATGTTGGCGCACCAACAATTGAAGAAATCAGCATGGCTATCAGACAAATCAAGAGTGGCAAAGCAGCAGGACTAGACAGCATTCCAGCAGAGGCACTGGCAGCAGACGTAGCGGCAACTGCAAGGATACTCCACATTCTCTTCAGAAAGATCTGGGATGAGGAACAGATACCAAAAGACTGGAAAGAAGGACTTCTAGTCAAAATACCAAAGAAAGGCGATCTCAGCAACTGTGACAACTACAGGGGAATCACTCTTCTTTCAATACCGGGAAAAGTCTTCAACAGGGTATTGTTAAACAGGATGAAGGACTCCGTAGACGCCCAACTTCGAGACCAACAGGCAGGATTCCGTAAGGATAGATCGTGCACAGACCAAATCGCAACTCTACGGATCATTGTGGAACAATCAATTGAATGGAATTCATCACTCTATATCAACTTCATCGACTACGAAAAAGCATTTGATAGCGTGGACAGAACAACCCTATGGAAGCTTCTTCGACACTACGGCGTGCCTCAGAAGATAGTCAATATCATACAGAATTCCTATGATGGATTAAACTGCAAGATCGTTCATGGAGGACAGTTGACAAAGTCGTTCGAAGTAAAGACCGGTGTCAGGCAAGGTTGCTTACTCTCACCCTTTCTCTTTCTCCTGGTGATCGACTGGATCATGAAGACATCAACATCTGAAGGGAAGCACGGGATACAGTGGATAGCTAGGATGCAGTTGGATGATCTAGACTTCGCAGATGATCTGGCTCTTCTATCGCACACACAACAACAAATGCAGGAGAAGACAACCAGTGTAGCTGCAGCCTCAGCAGCAATAGGTCTCAATATACACAAAGGGAAAAGCAAGATTCTTCGATACAACACAACATGTACCAATCCAATCACAATTGACGGAGAAGCTTTGGAAGATGTAAAAACCTTTACATATTTGGGCAGTATCATCGATGAACACGGTGGATCTGATGCAGATGTGAAGGCACGAATCGGCAAAGCAAGAGCAGAATATCTACAACTGAAGAATATTTGGGACTCAAAACAATTAGCAACCAACACCAAAGTCAGAATTTTCAATACAAATGTCAAGACAGTTCTACTGTATGGGGCGGAAACCTGGAGAACTACGAAATCTATCGTCCAAAAGATACAGGTGTTTATTAACAGTTGTCTACGCAAAATACTTCGGATCCGTTGGCCGGACACTATTAGCAACAACCTACTGTGGGAGAGAACAAATCAGATCCCAGTGGAGGAAGAAATCAGGAAGAAGCGCTGGAAGTGGATAGGACACACATTGAGGAAAGCACCGAACTGCGTCACAAGACAAGCCCTCATATGGAACCCTCAAGGT